TTACATCCGGTTTATCTTGTTTAATTACAATGTCTAATTATTAGTAATTAAATAAAAGTTGACCATTTAAATTAATTTTCAGTTTATTGCTATAAGTACCCAATTATAAATCGAAAAAAAAATGCATTCATTTCACAAACAGTACATGTGATGCGATGTGAAATTCACATACATGCTAAAAATACCCATTGAGAAATTAGAGAAGATAAGAAGTTCAGAGAATATATATATTCAGTGAGTTTTTTCCCAGCAGTTGCAGAATGCCTCTACTATAGATATTCATATTCAAGTACTATTAAACTAAATATAGTGACAAATGTGATAGTGTATAGCAAAAATACTCCTAATATGGTATAACAACTTGTAGGTGTGAAGAATAGTGAAGATTAATCACAAAGCGCTTTGAATACAGTTGAGTTATGTTTAGGATACTTTTCGAAAATAAGATGTAACCAACGGAAACACAGTAACAGAATGAAGATTATTCCATATTAGAGATGTGGAGATGCAGCTTACTGGATTAAGCACTCAAGTTTGGTCAGCTCTTCATCCAAAACAGGAGTAAAATTGGGCGACCGGTGGCAACTACCAATCGCTTACGCGGAATTATGAAAGTGTCAGCTCTACTACGTTTCGTTTACCGCAAATATGTTGATTGTTGGCTGCAAACTTTAGGTTGCTATGCTGAACATAAAATAGTCCACCAGAAGCAAGACAGGAGAGGAAACTATGGCTATTCTTTCTTTTGCTAGTAAACGTCTTCGTTATAGATGAATTAAGAATAAATGTGTCAGCAAAGAGATTTCCTTTCGTAAACTTAATTCAAAGTTGTACAGTTATTTAGGAGGTTCATATGTACAATATAGATTGACAACAGAGGTCAAGGGTTATTGTCATTTAGTAATAAAGCAAATCAAAGTGGATGAGTAATAACTATGTTCGAAAACTTAGGAATAGTTTCATGTGATCAAAAGGATTGACAACTAATTAGTTAAGTGGTGAATCATGGTTTGGAAATGTTTGATATGAGACAAGAAAACAAAAGAATGAATATGAATTGCGAAAATCATTAAGCGGACCACACAGAGCTTATTATACAGTAGTTATTCAGGAAGACAAAAAAGGTAGAAAAAAGGAAGAATAGTACTAAGGTCATGGTGTTAAAAGAGACTGGTAGTAAACTTTGACCTCTGTTGTCAGTCTATATTGTATATATAAACCCCCTAAATAACTGTGCAGCTTTGAAGTGAAGTTACGAAAAGAGATTTCTTGACTGACTCATATGTTCTTAATTACACGAAATGGGAATTCTTCAGACTTTAAAGACAAATTATCAACCTAAGGAGCAGTGCTTTAAGATATGACGTTGGCATTTCACCACTCAAGCTACTTTCGTCTGTATATTTGCAAGGAATTAAGATTATCTTTGTTAATGAATCATTAGTGAAAAGTGATTTTATATTAAACAATAATCTTCGGGATGGTTCGGAAATTTACGTTGAATTCCGATAGGTTTTAAACTTTCCGACATGTTTGATAAGCTTGTTCTTCCTATGGTAGCGTCTTTATCAAACACCTGATTGTCACACGGCGATAAAATGTATTGCATGATGCTGAAGCAGTTTTAAGTTAGGATAAGACTACTTCGGAGTACCTTGAAAAACTATTTCGAGTACTTATGGCTCTCCAATGATGTAAACTTTCGTATTAACTTCAGCAAGCTCGACGAAATAGGACACAAGCCTCGTAACTATCGATGGGTTAATTCTATTGACCACTGTACAAAAAAATACCAAGTGAAGAAAGTTCATGCAAAGATAAACTTCACAAGTAACTGTGTGATCAGATTGTTCGAAATGTATTGCGCAAATACATCACGTTTTTCAAATAATCTCCGTCTTCTAATAAAACTATCCAAATTTATAAAAGGGACTTATTGTTTTAAATTTTGAAAAGCTGTCACACTATTGTGTGATTTGCAGATGTGAGTGTCTAACTTGATAAATTTCAGTTACCTCAAGTTTTCTAGTTAAATCACTTGTGTCGGTTCACTGGTTCCCAACGCCAACAGTTTAATGTTCTCAGTAAGCAAATTCAAAGTATTTAGTAGAAAAAAGCTGTACAAATCTGTGTCCAGTAAAATATTTGTTCTCTATCCGAACGAGAATTTAAAGACGAAGTTCACACGAACTAGATTTTTGTTGACCGTTGTTACTGAAAGATGTCAGTCAGTTCGACAACCAGGTTCACTTCTTGTATATGTTCTTAATATATGGTCTAGACTGAATACATAAAGCTCTTCTTAGAAAAGCCTGAATTTAGTGAAAAAGATAACAAACGGAAATGTCAGTCAGAGTTGGTTGTTTTGTCAGATGACCTCTTAAGTGTTTAGCCGCGTTTATAATTCTACAAAATGTGAGCTGTTTTTGAGATGTTCTATTGGAAGATTTTTTTTCATTCCTTCAAGTTTTCAGTGGAAAGTTGGGCTTCAGACTTTGATGTTTCAGTAGCCGTTAGCGATGTTTTCCAGGGAGTTTGGTTGTAAGCCCCGGTCTCAACTCTTTTCTCTTTTCCAGGCTCATTATCATCTGATAAACTAGAAGCAGTTTAGGAGTGCATTGGCCAGTAATCAGATTTGGAACTCCTGTGTGGCTGGCTAACGTCCTAATAATGATACAGTAACGGGCCTAGATGGGATTTGAACTCGAGATGGCTAACACCAAAAGAAAGCATCAAACTAAGACTACTTGACCTCATATGGAAAGTTTGCATAACATCGATCCCACTGATTCTAAAACGGACTATCAGGAAATTTCCACCTAGTGCTATCAAGTTTAACACAAACTAGCATGCGTTTAATTCATCTCTGATCTTCTTCTTATTCATCTTACCAGATACAGTTATACAGTCAGCTTTCGATACCTTCATTGTGCTGAATCTTCAGGTGTAGTGTCACTGTTTATCTATTATATCTTCAGTGATTTGAATAAGTTTTTTAATCCCTAATATATATATATATATATATATATATATACATACATATGCGTCCGTGACACAGCGGTCAGGACGCTCGCTGACCATACGCATGGTCAGGGGTTCGATCCACGGTCGACGCACTCCTTTACCTCACTGAGCCAGAAATAATACTGGTAAAGAGGGAAGGTTGGGCATGAGGCTAGCAACCCTATCCAGCAAAAATAAACACTGCTACCGAAACTTCAAGCCTCTAGCTTGAAGCCCTATGTTCCACTGTAAACGTGAAGGAATGAAAAGATATATATGTATATACATATGCGTCTGAATTTAGATAAGAGCCTGGAGATTTCATCTAAAATTAATATGACGGTTTCGCCTAATTAAAATCGTGTAACTTAAAATCCCATCTATTCTGTCGAAGTATCCTGCACTTCACTGATGAACTTGATGTTATCATTACTTTGGATGGTTGATGTCAAACGCAACGGCTTCATAAGTTTCCTAGTGTTTAATTAAACTTAATTGCTAGTTTTAAATGACGTGAACACATATGGCGTTAATTCACAATTATTCAGCTGACTATTTCATTTCCTTTATATCAGACTTATTTTCCAAAAGATTTTATGAATATTTATTTCTAAATTCTGTGAAACGTCACGAAAACTAAAAGTTACGGTAATGGTTTTGCTTTGTTCAGCTTTCACAAACACTATCAGTTGTGTTAATAATATAATAGTTCCTGTTTGGAGTCGAGAACTGAATGTACCATTCAATCAACCATAAAGAAACGTCGCACAATGAAGTAAGTACGTGTGAATGGTTGGCAATTTAACATGCATAAGGATATTAACAGATAACCATTGAAAGCCGAAAATTGTAGGACAATGTCCTTGTTTTAGTTCAAGACTCTCAAATATCCAGCACGCATCACTGTATATGGATTGTATTGCTTAACTATCAAATCAATCAATGCTTTCTAATTTTCTTCCAGTTTGTGTTGAAGCACAATTGTTATGATTACTGACTGTCTCCAAAACTGACTTTGATGACTGTGATATTTAAGAAAATTTTCCAAAATTATTAATCAGGCTAAAATATAGTAAATGAGGCAGTGTGAAAATTTTGCTCACCGATCATCTTTAGTACTGTTATCACAAATCAATTCTTATGACATACTTCTGAATAATAAACTGCATTACAGCGAACTTCTGCAATCTAAAAATGAGTATAATACCAAGGTAGTCATACCTTTTGATGAGTGGTTGTGATGCAAATTATACTAACTTCATCTTTCTTATTTTGTGACTAGCTTTGTATCATCATTTACAGAGCGATAAAGTTTCCTGGTAAAATTAACCTTCCAGAAACTCCTTCTTCTCACCCCGGTTAATGGACAGTCAAAATGTACGTTTATGCTATCCATTTTTTAAATAGAGGCTAAATTATTTATAGATCCACTGAAGCTTCGGCTTTTTTATCCTTAGTCAAGCCTATTTTTAGCCATTGTAGTGGTATGTCCTTAAAGGCGGTAACATAGCATAGATTACTAGGAAACTATAAACCTGTACGTACTACCAGTTAGCGGTTGTACATTACCTATTGTTAGAATAAATCACTTTAATAATAGGTCAATTAGAAGAATAGGGAAGTTAGTGAAGTCAGTCACTATATTACAAGATAATATATACTACTGACTGACATGAGTAGATGGAAAACATTTACATCAAACAGTAGTGTTTGCCACCAAGATCAAGTGAGAGAAACAATGAACGACCTTTTCGCTGGTTCAGATCCAAACTGATAAAGAGAGAGTAGGTGATTTAGTTTCGAAAAGTAACCATGACGCAATTTCCCATGAAACTGTGTAACTGCCAGTTGACAGTAGTAAATTTCGTCATAATATTCTTCAAAAGACAGATATTATTCTGTAGTGGTTTCTGTCCAGGACACAACGAACCGACTACATGCGGTCCTTTAAGAGGGCATAAAAGAAAATGAAAACTATTCATTGAATTATTTATAATCTCAAGTTAGAACAGATGAAATCTCCGTTTTTGAAAATATAATTTACATTAAAAAAAAAATAATAATAAGAATTAGTATTAAATGAGAAAACCACTGACGAAATATGGACAAATACAAGTTTAATTGTTGGTAACGCCTTAGTTTGAACCAGTTCGAAGAATTTTCTTCAATGTACCAACATTGTTGTCTTTTAATGCATTGTGACACATTGTGATAATATTGGTTTTATGCTTCCCAACTGTAAAATAATTAAAGAGAAGAAAGTTACACATTATACACATTCCTTTTCTACATAAAGCTTTAGGCTTTTAGAGTGATCAACTTCCAAACACAAAAGATATCAAACAAAGTTTTAAAAAAAAACATACATTATTCTGTTGGGATAATATGGGATAAGAATCTAATTGTAGATTAAATAGGTAAGTCTGGGTAGTATTCACTGTACTCCATTGTTTATCTTTTATTGAAGAACAGCATTTTACGCCTGTATAACAAATTATTTTCTGTTGTAATATTCAGAAATAACTATCATCTAAATGCAAGTAGAATGATTTTTTCTCCAGTCTGAGTGTAACTCACTTTAAGAGCATTGACTGACTACGGTACATACTTTTGTGGATAAAGAATACGATAAAGTGGCACCAATTATTTCTCGCCAGCAAAAATGACCTTAGTTTCATTTGTTAAAATGACAACGTATAGTTTCGTACTGAAGACTTTAAATGACTATTATTTTTTTTAAGCTGTTTAGAGAAACTATTACCCTACATAATTCACTGTAGACTGAATATCAGTCACCTTTAATTGTATAGTCAAATCTTGTACACTGACTCATAGATTCCCAGGACAAGTAGTTTATTACTTTCAGTATATGATTCCAACTTTTTTCGGTCAAAAAGAAGAAATATCTTTCACAAGGTATTTATATTTCATCATAGCTTCTGTCAATGCTAGTGAACATTGAATACTTTGTTTTTTTTCTAACTGGTCTTTATTGGCGGGAGACAAGAAGGCTGTCATTGCTTAATCGTTTATTGGTTGGCAGAAGACTGGAGAAATACGATCGGAAGTATTGTTGTACATTATATTAACGTTTATTTGTAGACTCTGGCACTGATTTACCATTGTAAATCTGTTTCGTTATCGCTTGAAGAATAAACAGTCATGTTGCCCAACCATTTTCTGTTGTTCTGCGTCGGTTATAGTGCATGGTGTTTTGTGTATTAAGCTTAGTCTTCTGAAATCAGGGATAAGTCCAGGATCTTTGCGATTTGGATATTTGACAGCCTCTGTTGGAAAATAAATATTCAAACCATAGTCTACCTAACGAGAAGTACCGGTTAATTCTGGTAAGTACAACTACTCAAATCAGTTGACGGTGAATACTGGCTTCTAGCCTCAGTGGGAACACTATCAGTCACTGAAGTTTGCAGGAACATTCAGATGAAGAGCCCCAAGCAGGGCGAGATGCGTACTCTGGATTCCACTGCTAGTTACCATCCACCCAATTACTTCAAATTATTCCTCAGACATCGTCGACACATCCGCACTAGGACCGACATGTCAACAGAGGCTAAATATTTCGGTCCAGTCAACTAACGGAAAAATCAAAACTGAATTAAAAGTAAATAATCCAAGATATTGGTTATGGGATTTCATCATGAGCTGACTTTGGTTAGAGAACCATTGGAAAACCTGCACGGAACACTTGACAGCTGTTTCGTCCTAGTTGGGGACTCTTCATCAGTACGCACCCGCCGCCAGGGTTCGAACCCAGGACCTTCTGGTTAGAAGGCGAGCTAGCTCGTATACCATTAAGCCACTGGGACCCAATCCAATGGCCAGCCCATGAATTCTAACTTCTGCCAATTCACGACATAGCGCGATCCCTAGCCAATGTCTTCGGCGAGTATTTGTCCTCACACCCGACCTGCTGCACCCTACTGGTCACGACTTCTCACTAGAACCCCAGGTAACTAACTACATGAATAGGGCCAGTCGCCAGTGAGAATCTCATTGATATTCAAGTATAGGTTTATAGGGATTTGGTTGATTGGTTACGGGATTTCATCATGAGCAGAATTGGCAGAAGTTAGAATTCATGAGCCATTGGATTGGGTCCCAGTGGCTTAATGATATACGAGCTCGCCTTGTAACCAGAAGGTCCTGGGTTCGAATCCCGGTGGGCGCGTACTGATGAAGAGTACCCAACTAGGACGAAACAGTTATCCAGTACTCCCAGGTTTTCCAATGGTTCTCTAACCAATGTCAGCTCACGATGATATCCTGTAACCAATCAACCAAATCCCTATAAACTTATACTTGAATAATCCAAGATATGTTAAAATGTCGCAAAACTAAGCATTAAAAATGGTTATTATAGAAGCGTACATCTCATGATATTCACAGCATGCTTAAAAAGTAAATTTATAACAGTAATACTACACCTCATAACCCCTGGTTTCCAACTCTTTAAACCACAGCGACTTATTTTATTGAAACTGATAATCTATTAGTGGTTATAAATTATTAGTTAAAAGTGTCTTGTTTTGCTACGGCTTAAAACATAAAATTTTGTCTGTTTCAACTTACCTCTTAATGAACTAGCATATTCAATTATCTGATTGATACTTTTCAGACAATCAGTTGAGGCTTCATGATCTGTAACTCTTGAATAATAATTGGATAGGATGTCAAGATTTGCATTGGACAACTGTTGAATTGTCTTTTTCAATGATTTCCTATAAAAACACAGCGCGAAAAGATAATAGTATATACAACTGTATAATACTTGTAAAAGTATTAATCAAATAATTAACTCGATATACTATTTGACCCAATGTTTTCACTATAGGAGTCTCGAATAGATTATAATTTACAGGATTTTCATCATGAGGTGACATTAGTTAGAGAACCATTGGAAAACCTGGGAGTACTGGACAGCTGTTTCGTCCTAGTTTGGGACTCTTCATCAGTACACACCCACCGGGGTTTGAACCCAGGACCTTCTGGTTACAAGGCCAGCTAGCTCGTAGACCATTAAGCCACTGGGACCCAATCCAATGGCCAGCCCATGAATTCTAACTTCTGCCAATTCACGACATAGCGCGATCCCTAGCCAATGTCTTCGGCGAGTATTTGTCCTCACGCCCAACCTGCTGCACCCTACTGGTCACGACTTCTCACTAGAACCCCAGGCAACTACCTACCTGATTAGGGCAAGTTGCTAGTGAGCATTTCATTGATATTCAAGTATTGGTTTGTAGGGATTTGATTGGTTACAGGATTTTTATCTTGAGCTGATATTAGTTAGAGAACCATTGGAAAGCCTGGGAGTACTGGACAGCTGTTTCGTCGTAGCTCTGGGACTCTTCATCAGTACGCACCCACCGGGATGCTAAAACCTATCAGCATAATCAAAAGATTATCGCATACTATTATTGATTAAGCACCAGTCGTACTGAGTAGCAGTGTGATTTGTTCATACAAAGGGAAATCGCCTATACACCATACATTTAAGAAAACAATGGGATTGGCGAGAATATCCTTCTTAGCAGTTTAAACCAAAAGGATGACGAATAAAGTAACTTTAGAACTATCTTCTTTAGGAGGTCTGATGAAACACCATAGCTGAACGGTTGGGTAGTTCAGATATATTTAGAATTGAATGGAGAGATAAGTCAACTTCGTGCAGCTTACAAAAATGTATAATATATGAGTTATCAGTCCTAATGAACTCGTTAGTTGAGAAATATCTCCAGTAGCTAACTATGTAGTTTATTAAGGGCGTCAGATAATTTATTCTGAGGAACCATTTAATATGCTAGTGCTCTCAACATTTCTCAAAAATATATATAAAAGCAATTTGACATTTCTTTGTGAATGTTTTTCCTCTAGTTAACATGGGCTGTATACAAACTTGAGATTAAATACACTCAAATGAAGTGTTCCGTTATCCTGTTATTCATCACTTAAAAACAGAGATATGATCGTGGACCTTGAGTATTACTGATTATACTCGCAAAACGTTTGATGGTGTGTTCTGCCACACAAAAGTTTCCACACCAGCCCATCCTTTCACCAAACTCTTGGGTGTGTCCACTGATGCCTGTCAAGCAAAAATGCAGCGTCGCTTCTAAGGTAAGGAGTACCATTCTACTGTTTCCCTGAAGGGTACTTTCATCTTGTCCTTAGATATTTTAAGGAATCACTCAGAAGAATTTCATGAATCTGTGTTACGTGCAGGTTAGCATCTACAAGCCAGAGGTATTTGAAATTTTAAAAGACATCGTATTCTCTTCAAGATCCGATAAGCCACTAAAGCTCACTGAAAAGTTTATTGTTTGGGTTTTACTGAAGTTTGTAAAGACAAATGTCTCTTGTCCTGGTGATAAGGAGACATTTGGTGGTTAAAAAAGACAGAAATGTTTGAATGTTACGCAACTTTTAGTCACTGTCTTCATTTAATTCGATACTAAACTTCTTTACTTTTTGAATCACAGTATATAAGGGTATCGTATATAAGAAAAAATCACTCGACAAGGAGATCAAGTCCCAGATCTTTCGTTTATCATTCCTACAAACAGTTGACTATGGCTGGACTCGCTCTGTAGTAAAGACTGATTGTTAAATATTGCCTATTTCAATACTGAAGAGAATATAAACTCTCAAGGGTAAGTGTTAACGAGCAACTAACTTAGGTTCATGGTATTCGGCTCAATGATTTTTTTCAAAATCTAAGGCCAACACGAAAGTACACTTCAGCGAAAGAGTAGAGTAGATTTGCTTATCTACACGCTTTGTTGGCAGGTTTTTAATCAGCGCATTCAGGTATATACAAACAACTAGACTGGCCACCGAATGGAAACAAATTTGCACACCAGTGAAATTTATCATAAATATGCTTACCAATTTCCGTTTAGTCGATAGTCATCTGCTCTGACAATTAATTTTTTTATCGTATCTGATTTACTGGTCATATCTACTAAAACTTGTTGTTGAGTTGAAGCGTATGCATTGGACTAGTTGAGAGAAAAGAAAATTAAACTAAGTCTGAACATTAAGCATTTTATGGTAAAATAGAGCAGATACTTTTCTAATGAATACGGTGAATAGGAAATCATGAATAAAATTATCTGTCTCTAAAAAATAATCCTGGTAAGACATCCAATTTCCTAAAACCGATTTGCTCATACTGATTTTGAAAAAATTGTGAATATGATTTTATTAAACTTTAAGCGTTTGCCTATATCATATAACTGTTTGAATGATAAGTACTAATTCAGTTAATTACGATTTAAGGTACCTAGATATTTGTGAAAAATTGGATGTTTCGAAACTCATTGATTTTAATTTTACTGGGCAACTGTGAAAACCACTTGAATTCAAAAACTTACACTAGGAAACATTAAGTGGTTTTGTGTTACTGCGTTTATGGGGAAAAATTGGAATGCTCCATTTTAATGAGGATATAAAAATATTAGATAGGGTTATCAGGACACTGACAATTAGCGGTTGGAAATCCTTGATTAGTTGGCTCAAAATTAATCCTAATGATGTCAATATACTCATTCTTTATCAGATTTTGAATTCTGAACAACTTCCCTTACCGTCATTTCATCATTTCCTCTGAAACACCTATATTTTTTTCCATTGTAATAGTACTACGTTTCTGTCCTACTGATTGGAGTATGTTGTCACGAAATATCAACTTAAATTGATACTGATTAATTTATCAGTCGGTCACAGTTGAATGAAATATTCAGTCTATAGCAATAAAACACTCAGTCGATGGCTTCTCAAGTAACATTCAAAATGTTTAATCGCTACAATGTACTTTTAAGGTGCAAACTAGACAGGAAAGTGTTATGATTATCATGAGCGTGATTTCATACTGCTCCGTGAACCAATTTTCAAAAAGATGTTTATTTGTTTGAAGGGCATAGAAGAGTGATACTTCATCGAATAAATATTTTAGAATACAAACTTCAAAATAGGCATCTGCTTCTAATTGCCTAATGCGTTATCCATCTTTTACATATTTTCAAGTATTGGTTTGGTAGGGATTTTGTTTAATTGTATGGAGGATTTTATCATAAGCTGACATCAGTTAGAGAACCACTGGAAAACCTGGGAGTATTGGACAGCTGTTTCGTCCTTGTTTGGGATTCTTCAGCAGTACGTGCCCACCGGGATTCGAACCCACGACCTTCTGGTTACAAGGCGAGCTCGTATACCATTGAGCCACTGGGACCCGATCCAATGGTCCTTGAATTCTATCTTCTGCCAATTCACGACATAGCGCGACCCCTAGCCAATGTCTTCGGCAAGTATTTGTCCTCACTCCCGACAAGGTTACTTAGCTACTTCGAATCCCAATGGGATCATCATCATCACCCACTGGGTTTGGAGATGTACTCGTCCAATGTATCCCAAGTTGGATTAAAACTGCACCTCCTGAACTTCACTGCCAACTACCGCCAAGTAATCAAGTAATATCTGCGAGTTAATCAAGTTCCATTATTTGTCATTTCCTTAATGTATACTATTCGGTGGGCGCGTACTGATGAAGAGTCCCAAACTAGGACGAAACAGCTGTCCAATACTCCCAGGTTTTCCAGTGGTTCTCTAACTGATGTCAGCTCATGATGAAATCCTCCATACAATTTTACATATTTGTTCACTGATGTATTATAATTATAGAACATAACAAAATATATTACTACATTTTGGAGAAAGTAGTTCGTTTAGATGGTTGTATAACTCTAATCTAGGAAAAATTGAATACTTCATTATGTGAACAATGAAGGCCCATCGTGGAGACACTATATCATGGTTATAAGTACGTGCTAAAAGCTGAGGCTTGTTTGGGACACTTCACACTATGACATGTAACGAAAACTGATTTATTTTTTTTGTAAATACGAAGAAACGTATGATATATGAAACTTTATTTATTTATTTTAATTTTATTATAGCTTGACTCCACACAGTATTTTTGATACAAGTATGGAATTTTCAGCATATGATATCGGTCGCCCAAATTTAGCAGGCCGACCATTTGTATCAGGTGTGCGTCAGCCGGGGATCAAACGCCGGACCATGTGCATGGTCGGCGAGCATCCTAACCGCTATTCATGTTGTTATACGATGCACAGTGGTCAGTCATAAGGGAACAACGTATTATTTATTATTTTTCGAAATTAACCACTCAAAACACGATATATCATGTTGATGGAATGCTTAACATTTCAGTTATAGTCTTCAATTCGCAACAAAGTATATACTTTCAGACACTCATTATTCTAAAGCGATGTGTGTATATTTTATAAATATCGAATAGAAAGGTTTCAAGTATACATATGTAAAATAGGAAATTAAAACATAAGGTAGAACAACCTAAATTATAATACTAACCATTTCAATCAACTCTTCTAGTATACCAAATATCTTGGGAAAATCACAAGTGCTCGATAGTTCTTTGATGCCAAAATGACGAGCTAGTGACTGTACCAAATTTGAAGCTAATTCTATATTCTCAGTTTTTATAGTTATCTGTTTAAATAAAAAAATAATTAAAACATGAAATACAAACTTTTACAGGATATAGGCTGTAATGTTAAACGTATTCCACTCTGAAATTATTTATCAAAACTTATCCTTCTGAGCAGAACTTTGGGCGATTGAAGAACTTTGAAAGATCTGTCGGGTCTTGGAAGAGTGGTTAAATGACAAAAGGTCACGGAGAGATTGCACAATCTTAGTTTTTGTGTGTGCAGTCCTGAAGATCTCTAAATTAGTGAAAAATATCTTTACAGTCCTCCACCATTGTATTGAGGGTGCTAACCTATTAAAAAATCTCATCCAGTTCTATGGAAACACTGTAAATAAATGGAACTGAGTTTCAGCCTCAGCATCATATTCCCAATTGTGAGATAGAATAAATATTGTTCGTTTTCACTTAAACGTGCTTTCCAGAAATGTCACAGAATTAAGTGCTTTTCATGATAGTGATTAAAACGCTTCCCTAGTAAATTAATTATCACTAACATCTTTGTATGAAAAGTTTTTGTGAGACTATTGGATTCTTTCTTGGATTGGTAAACTGCCACTGTCACAATAAATGGTGATTAAAGCTGAAATGAAAAACTGGGTCAATGTAGGACTCACACCAATGGCCTCCATATTAGTGAATAAGATAAATGGAATATTTCCTTAAAGCCGAATGTATGTCTTGATGACATATGAAGACTTGAAAAAAAAACGCCCAAGAGCACAGTCTTCAGAAGTTAATTGGTGGATGGTAACTAGCAGTGGAATCCAGGATGGGCATTTCGTCCTATTTGGTACTCGTCGACTGGATGTACCTGCATTCCCCAGTGAGTGATGATGTTCCCACGGAGGCTCGAATCCAGTGCCCATAGTTTCCAACGCCAAAGCGTTATCCACTAGACCACTTGGGCCACGAGAGCCACCTCTTATGCAACGGGTCATATTAATTTAATTAAATTTTCGATTTTTTCGTCGATTGATTGGACCGATCCCACTGCTAGTCATCGTCCACCAATTAACTTCTAATTACATGCCCAGGCATTGTCGAAGCATCTGCGCAAGCAGCCGACATGTCAACCTGAGACCAAGCTCTTCAGTCCAATCAATCGACGGGAAAATCTAAAATTCAATTTAAGCACAGTTTTCTGTTTTAATAAGTCGCATGAAGAAAATCTCTCAAAACTATTGGTTACAATGAACTCTTTGAATGCTAGACTTGTATGAATGATTAACATATCCTCACTGTATTAATTAGAATGTGATAAATAATCAGCCTATTTTATTTCATTTTCCCACAAGAAATTTAGAATTCAGTTATTACAGACAAATTTCTTCATTTAACAGGTTATGAGCTACAGTTTTGTGTGAAAGCTGAAGATATCAGTTATCTGAAGACAGACTCAAACTAACTGGAGTAACTGTTTGAAAGTTGAGTGCTTTAGCCAATAAGTCACACCTCCATTACAAAATAATATTGTTTTAAAAGGAATTATCGTTCGCGACGAATACTCAACAACTGAAATTAATCCTAAATCCCCACAAATCCTATAATCCAAATATCAATCGCCAGCTCACTGATGGCTACTGGATGGATTTCCTGAAGCTGCAGTGGGAGGTCGTGACCAGTAGGGTCCACTATGTCAAGGTAAAGTAGATGCTTATCGAAAGCATTAATGAGGTCAGCGCTATATCATGAGTTTACAAAGTTAGAATTCACGGGTCCTTGAATCCCAGCCTAGGCCGCTGAATGGTCAACGAGATTGGTCTCGTAACCTGAAGGTCCTGGGTTCGATCCAAGACGGGATCGTGGGTGTGCACTACTGAGGAGTCCCAGAATAGGTCAAAACATTTGTCCACTGCTCTCTGGTTTTCAGTGACCTCTCTGACTGATGTTAGTTCTTGACGAAAATATTACAGTTGAAATTACGGAATATGCAACATCATGTTAGGAAGGGGAATGATACTAATCTTATTCCAAGTACTTTTGAAAGAACAGATTTAGATAAATTTATAGCTGAAGATATTAATTTTCTCATGTTTAGAGTTTATTTCATTAAATCCAAATAATTTGTAAACTTGTTGTTCTCTGTAATTGTTCACATAAATAAGAAGTGAATTTCAATTTAATTTATTTTTAGTAAAAATTTAATTTTAGACAAATCTGTTTCTCACTCCGATGGTAAATTGGTGAACACATATTATTGTCAAAACGGTGTTGGTAGATAGTCTATTTTCTCACAACAAACAAATTATAATGTCCTTTATTCAAGACACAGTTAATCATGCATGACCTACATTACCCATAGCGTCTCTTCAAATAAACTGTTTATAAAGTTTTAATTGACAATGTTGAACACTAAGGTTGTTTGATAAAATTTGTATTAACTGAATAATTTTACATCAATGAGGACAGAAAATGGATGGGTGAGGGGTTAGATATACATTCGCACTTAACTGTTCATGCATCTTATTCACTCTAGTGTTATTTTACTACTCATACAATTCAGTAATATATCGTGCAGTCCTTATTTGTAGAAGTTATACCAATAAATACAATCAGTATAATGTTTTAGAATGATACATTATACTTCAGAAATATATTGATCTGTATGAGAAAACATGATACTCTTATGATTAAAATTAAACAGTAATATTTATGAGATACCAAGGCTTACCTCTCCTTTATTTGTCATGGTTATGTACAGTAAACGTTTCAAGTTACATTGGTTTTGAATATCGATAACATGTGATTTTGGATTAGGAGTATTGTGCTCATTTAAGTCGTCTGGATTGGCTGGCCGAAGTTCTTCAAAAAGTACAGATACTGAAGACTGATCAATATTTGTGATTTTCGGTTCAAGGATAAAATTATTATTTAACCAGATAGCAAGCTATAAAATAAATAAGTAAATAAACCAGGTTGGTTATCGATTTATTCAGTTAACTGATTAACACCAATGAATAACTTAACGTACTATTGTTCATGTCCTTAAAACTAATTTGTCTTACAATGAATAGTAAGTACTATAATGGTAGACAGAATAAAACAACATTGGAAAACAGCTAATAGATAATATGTAAATGTATGGAACTGAGTGAATACTATAGGACTTATCTTGGAGTAATTTGGTCCCGCATATATAATGAACCAATGAAAGGATTCAAGAAAAATAAAGCAAAAAATAACAACAGTCTTCAGTTAACGATGAATAGGGCAACAGTAAAAAGAAAGAAGGAGACCAGGATTCCGACAAAATAATGATAATAATAATTTGCTTTATTCCAGAAACAGTACTAGTGGTACAGTGTGGAATTTTCAGCATATATCTACAATATTTGCGTCTCATTTTATCCAACGTTTAAAAGGAGTATTTTAAAAAACATATATAAAGACAGCAACAGCAAAAAAACACAAAAATAATTTTTTTAAAATGCGAGAAATACCAAGAAGTAGAAAAGAAAATAAACAGCATATCTCAGTGTTGGGTAATGGAAGCTATGATATGATTATGCATGGTGACAGTAAAGCTATAGTCATACAAGAAGTTCTGAAATGATGTTTAAGAATGTTTATCTCCAAGATGATCAGTTAATTTGGTTGAAACAACACTAAACCATCATAAAATAACATTTCAGGGTTGTTGTTTTGTTTTTTATTGTCAGGTCTAATGCAGTGTTTATAGTGGAAGTGTGAGTAATCCTGCATAATGCAAAATTTTAAGATGGTCATAATGGCGTTCACAACCAATGATTGTCAATTAATATTGCCGAAAAAAAATAAAAATAAAAAACAACCACAAAAACTAATAATTACATGATGGTTAATAAGAGGACAATTTTGTAATATTCATAGTGCTAATATAGCCGGGACCAGTAGATACACAAAAGAAGGAATACAGTAAAGTACAAAAGTAAGCCAATGTTAATAATTTAGTTCGCTAAGTATGTTTAAGGAGTTAACTATAGAATACAAAATAAGAGAGAAATAAAAGAGCCTAAAATTATGTTATTAACAAAAAAGCAAGTCATAGGTTTCGCGCTTAACATTGTCTCTGTCACTTAGAACACGGGCCAAGTATGGTCTCGTTGAGTTCCTGTACTTGGTTGTACGAGCATATATTATTTTATACTGATTTCTGGTTTTACCTGATGAGCTATAAGGTGAGAGTTGGGAATAGAGTGGATGTTGGGGGTCTGAGAGTATGGTTTTTGACCATTTTTCGCATGTATTCAGATGCCTTTCTACTAATGTAGTGACGAGCTGACTGAGTTTTACACTACTAGTCCTACTAAATACCTTCAACATCCTTCTCACGATGGCATAGTCCTTTTTCAGTAGACCAGGAAAGACTTACAAGATGGGTGTGAATCTTCTGTGTATGCAGTACAGACTTGCGTTGGTAGCAAGCAAACGAGTTCACTTCACATAAGCTGTGAAAATCTTTTTTCATTCTTTTATGTTCTATGTGGAACATTGGGTTTCAAGAATTGAAATTTCAGTGGCTAATGATGTAGCCTTTTTGCAGGGTACTGTCGGAAGCCTCACGCTCAAACTTTCCCTTCCACCGGGCTTACACTCAGCTAGTGAAGTAGATGCAGTTCAGGGTTATGTCAGCTGAAAGTTGAATCCGGATCTCTCGCTTGACTAACCAGCATTGTACCATTGAATCACCAACCCACTGTGAAATTATGCTTCTTTCTTTTTTTTAAATTCAGTCTCGTATAAATATTAGCCTTCAGTAAATGTTATGCTGAAACTAGTGAAACATCACGCACTCAATTACTGAAATGTTAGGTGATATCTAAGTCAAATAATGCCTTGAAATACATATATTCAGAAAGGAGGATGCTACAGAGAAAATTCATACACCATAGACAAATTTATCAAAGGAGACAACATTCAGGTCAACTTACCCTTTCAGGACGATCGTGTACCTGGAAAAACACACCTGACCGTAAACCTTCCAAATCATCAGGATAGTCTAATTTAGGATTTTGACTTAGAAATCGATAAAGACAGAATTGTGGTAGTACATGAGTACTAGCCAGTAGATAGTAAGAATCTTGATCCGGTCTATTTAAATATCAAAAAGAGAGGATGGAAGCTAACAGAAATAATTCATTATTTAAAAACTTTATTCAAGTAATTTTCGTAGGATAATGTATAAAAAGCAAACCAAATAACGACATTAAATCAGTGGGGGAATAAAAACTCAGCGTTTCCTCAAAACTTACAGTTCTGTGTTGATATAACTATAAAACTTGGGCACTGTGGTAGAGTATAACTCCGTTATAGATAAGACTTTATTTTGATAAATCACACAGTGTTATACAGTAATATTAATTGATGACGTTTCGAGCACAAACTATTTCTCATAATCATATCAAGTCACTCACACAACTTTTCCCTTTACTTTACATTATTATGTCACCCCCTATTAATCAAAAATAGACTACTATACATTTTTGGGGAATATAAATACGACTGTACAGCCTCTCATAAAATATTATTTAGATTAAATACTTAACACTGAAGAATACCAGTAAAACATAAAACTCAGGTGAACAGCTACCTTTGACTGTTTACACTCATATAATATATCAATGTTTCATATTAAATGAAGGCGACATTGTAACTTTATTGAAGTTAATGTTGGTATTTAGTTTCACATGGTTTTCGAAATATTAAGAAATGACTAAAATTATGTCTCACATATTTGTGTTTAGGAGAGATATTGTTTTTAGTGAGTAATACTAATGAGTAATCGAAGTAATCACATCATATATACTTCCATGTATGCATAAAAAAGAATGAATCTAGATGACATTCTAAATTAGTAAATATCATCTTGGGAATATGTAGTGAAGTCTTTTGAGCGAAATCTGTAACATAACTGCAAATCAGGCGGAGAGAGAGAGTCTCTTTTCATCGAATCAACACCAAAACATGTGCAACTAAAATAAGCCAACGCATATACCGTTTTTTTAATTCCTTTATGTTCGTTCCCAGGGGAACATAGGGGTTCAAGCTAGAGCCTTGAAGATTCCATAGCAGTGGTATTTATTCTTATAGGATGTGGTTGTTGGCCTCACGCCCAACCTTCCCTCTTTACCAGTCTTAATACTGGCTTAGTGCGTCGGCCGGGGATTGAACCCCGAACCACATGCGTGGTTGGTGAGCATTCTACCGCTGTGTCGTCGACTCACGCCTATACCGTGGATATGGAAAATTTCAACAAACATCAAGGAAAGAAAAAAATAAATTATGGAGGCATGGGAATACATTGATATGATTATGAGAAATAAATTATGCTCGAAACATCATCCAGTTGTCAATACTGTATCAATATGTTCTATATCAAGTAAACTTATCTAATATGGAATTATATTCTCCCACAGTGCGTATGTACTACGTTTATAGCAGAGGATTATCATAGATAAACTAATATCAGTAGGTTTGATATGCTTCGAAATTCTCATTTTTACTAAGAACCAAGTTTTGGGTTAGTTGAACTTTAAGGTGCAACGGTAGAAGTTGAAAACCATTGGGTAGTTGGAACGCAACTTAACGGCTTAATGTTAGCATGCTAAGCTAAAGTCTGAACAGTCCTTGGTTTTATCTGCGATGGTGTTGTTGGTGCAATTTTTAGGCAATCAACATTAGGATGCTACTTGGTTTTCAGTGGTTCTATAGGTGATCTCAGTCTACTTTGAAGTATTTCTAAAATACGATATTTTCAATATTCGATTTCTGGAAGGATCAGATGATTAAAACATAACAAAAGAATATAGTAATATAAATTGCCCAGAACAATTCAAGGTAACTTTTCTGAAAGTAAATATTCATGTATTACTGAATAAATAGTGTTTAACTTGCTTAATCCCATAAATTATTATAAATGTGGAACTGCTTGTATATTTTCCTTCAAATGGAAAATATTCAGAAAATTAAATTATTTATTCTTCAAGTATTGGTTTTGTAGGGAATTTTGTTTGATTGGTTGCAAGATTTCATCATGAGCTGACATCAGTGAGAAAACCATTTGAAAACTAGCTGAGAGTATTGGACATCTGTTTCGTCCTGGTTTGGGACTTTTCAGCAGTATGCCACTGGATTGGATCTCAGTGGCTCAATGGTCTACGAGGTCGCCTGGTAACCGGAAGGTTCTGGGTTAGAACCCTAGTGGATGAGTACTGATGAAGAGTCCCAAACCGGGACGGAACAGATATCCAGTACTCTCAGCTAGTTTTCAAATGGTTCTCTAACTGATATCAGCTCATGATGAAATCTTCCAACCAATTAAATATTTGAATAGCCACTGCTATAAATTCACCCTGAAGTCAGAAGACTTTTTATTCTATACTGTATCACTTAAAAGAAGTATCACTTATTTATATAAGTTTGACTAGATTCTCTGTTCTATTCATTAGCCTTGAATTAAACTGAAAAACAGACTGATAACAAATTAGGAATACTAGTGGAAAATCTGTAGACAAGAATTATGTAGAAGTAATACTTCTCACTTGAATCATTAGTGAACTTATTAAAAATAATTCATGTACTTAAAGAAGACTTCTATTGAAAATGGTTTTGTGTATTTTAAATTGTAATGTGACATTTATTTTCAGGGGTCGTAAAGTGTGTTGAGTAACCGCCTAACTGTTTCCTCAGTTATACAATCAGCTTTGCAAGTAATACGTGATGCCAAACCTTCACATCTACGTTTTGACTTGACGTTTTTATATGATGATAAGACGCAAGCTTTAATCTGTTGGAGATATTGAAGACATAGTTAGACTTTAGTGTATCCTTATAGGAGTTAGTTCCAAATTGATAACAAACAGTCGTGATGTAGTAAGCATTTTCTTGATAATTTACAATGCTCACTCCTAATTTCATACAGAAGGGAATTAGACAATGACAGCAGTTCATTGTTCAACAGATACATGTCAATGTTTTCAATTTTCAGGCTCTTAACTTGAGATTTCATTGAAGTTATGCATAGATGAAGATTGTAGAGCTTCAGTTTAACGGCTGTTACTCATATCTCAGTATTGTTCGATTTATTAAATAATTAAAATTTATGAAAACTAATTAATATTCTGTTTAGCCTTCTAAACTCTTCGACCATGAAACAGTTTCTTCTTAAAGTAAGTAGACGACCGAGTTTACATGAACGGCTGTGAGGCGAACAACTGAACCTGAGTAATTCAGAAACTCTTTTCTTTTAAATCTACATCCTGTAAAGGAGAAATTAGATACCTCTGAGTCTTCTGATCATTTTAACTACAATTTTATCCAAATATGCAACTTATATAACCTGCTTCACAAACTATAAAATGTCCCAATTCCGAGTATTGCTTTTTATCGGCGATGTATTTGGGCGATAAACAAAAAACTACGGAGGCTTTCCCTATGGGTTATTTCTCCCCTAGAAAGTGACATTTGAAAGTGGTACCATTGAATTTGTCTTTTTAACTTTTAATGATCCTTCTACTTCAGTCATTTTAAAGACATGTTTCAGTCATCAGGAAACGATCAGTCATCTTGAGCTAAAAATAATACACATCGACTCCAAGAAATATTTGTATATGAAGTACGCATTAGGAATAAGAATTACCGCCACAGGCTTGGTGGACTCTACTTAAAAGTCCACTGATACTCGGAATACTGACTTTGGAGAGAAAACATGCAAAAGTTTGCTTAACTGAAAACTTGCAAAATCCTAAAGAAAGGTTTTGTGTCACTCTATTACATTTAGAAAAACATACGTAAATAATTACACTTGAGCGATTAACAAAAGTCATCAGGTTCTCCCTGTAAAATCAAATAGAACATGACCAGCTCTGTCACAATTCACCATGCACAGTTTTTATGGTTATATTCAATTAAAACGTAACAGAATGAGTATACTCCTTTTCGAGTATTGAACACTAACTAACCTCTTATTAATAGGCATAGCATAGGCCTTGATAAATACATCGACCGATACATCTTTCGGTGGTCTTAATTCAAATGTATACGAAGTGGCAGATTGAGTATTCTCCGGTGGATGTCTAAAAGATTAAAATTGAATCAATAAAAAGTCGTTCAGCACATTTATTGTCTTTAGAGATTAATAAATCTGATTTTTGTTTAATGGTGTCAACATATTTTCCAAAAACATTTTTAAATAATCCGGTAAAAGCTTCGGAGAGTTTGGTGTTCATTTGGTTTTGGGGTTCACTGACTGTACTTGTCACTGTGTTCAAACACACCCTTTGTTATCTCATTTACATCAGTCAAACAGTGACAACCACTTAAGCCTTGGTGAAACTCGTCTAGGAGATCCTGTTCATCTGCACATTATTGATCACAGTAGAACTAAGTGGTACAATATAAATTATTTGTGGTGTAGTTTGCTTCTGCTTACAGCTATGTAAAACATAAAATCGTACCTAGCTAGAATTATTGGACATCAATTTATAGTGATAACACTAATAATAGCAATAAGATTGATAACGACTGAACACCACACTCTTCTCCTAAATTCCGGGCAGTACACCGCTAAATATCTTCCCAACCCTAACGACTTTCTTTATTTGGTTAAAGGTGTCGGTTATAAATTTTAGAAGGCTTATTCATGAAGAAAGAATTTTCCTTCTTATTCATCAGCTTCTGCAGGCATATATCCTTAACAGTTAAAGAATTATTGTCATTGACAACATTAATGTTTTATTTAACATCGGCCGTTGTTGTAGAAACTTAATTACTCGTTCCCGAACACCCATCAGTGTGATAAGCACTATTAACAGTAACATATTAAAGCATCTAGTTCTAATAGACCATAAAGCCAACACTGGAGATTCTTTTATCATCTGTCAGATACCACACAAACTGTCAAAGGCCTCTGGATATCAAATACCCAAAATAGCAGAAGCTACTGCAATTCGCAGAAAACAATAAGAATTCTGTATCCACAAGAAACAAATCCATCAGGTATTTCCCCTCTGGCCTGCTGTGGAACCTAAATATTCATAAATTCAGTATTACTTCTGTTAATCTAACTGATATTCAATTCAGTGTTACCTTTTTAGGCATGTTATCGCAAATGCATGTTTTGAACAATAATCTGCCTATCTTATTGGTTCGATGTTATTTAAAAAACACTTCTTCGTTAACTCTTATGGGTACACAAATATGAAACCTGATGAAGAAGTTATGGAAGAGAATATTCCTTGTTCACTAATCACTCCTCTTTGGTTTTCTTTATTTTTTAAGGGTGGTGTTAATAGAATCAAGAGAATTTAGTGGGAATTCGTACATCACTTTTGATAACTTTGAATCAGTCATATTTTTGATCCTGAAAGACGTCATACTCATCAAATATTATTACTTTATTATTTCTGATGTATATTATCATGAATTATTAGAATAATCATTGTGAAGGTTTAATATAATAATTAGTTTACATACTTCCGGTCATCCAGGGAATGCAATAATTATGAAACTAAAAGTTGAGCTGTTTAATTAAATTTCTGGAAACAATTAACTTTTTTTCATAAAACAAGATGTAAACTTTATAGTCGCACTAATGTACGACAAAGATTTTATGATTTGTGTTAACGCAGAAGTACAAATTTCATACAGCACGGTAGCAGAAAAAAGCAAACTAAAAGTCGTATTTTCTACACGACCGATGGTGATTCCTCAATTGAAAGATGAAGTACATAGACTAGCCACTTCCAATTGTATCTACCAATTCAACTGAGCTTGTGGAGCGAGTTATATCGGCCGTTGCTCTAGGAACTTGATTTTTCGTGCTCGAGAACATCTACCTGTGTGGTTAAATAAAGGTGTAGTTAGAAGCATCAATTGCTTCATATTAGACCACCTGGTCCAAACTGGCCATAAAGCAGCTAGCATTGAAGAGTCCTTCTCCATCATCTATCGGGTACCAAACAAATTGACAAAAACATCGAGGTACCGCATGCTCCAAACAGCAGAGGCTATCGCAATTCGCCTGAGACAACTGGTGCTCTGAGTGCAGAAGAAACAGGTTCAACTACCGCTACTACCCTGGCCTGCTGTTTTTTTTCCTTCACGTTCCCCAGTGGAACATAGGGCTTCAAGCTGGTGGCTTGAAGTTTCTTTAGCAGTGTTTATTTTACGGGATGGGGTTGCTAGCCTCATGCCCAACCTTTCTTCTTCACCGGCATTATTTCTGGCTTAGCGAGGTAAAGGAGTGCGCCGACTGGGGATCGAACCCCGGACCATGTGCATGGTCGGCGGGCGTCCTAACCGCTATGCCACCGACGCACCTAGCCTGCTGTGGAGTTAGCAAATTCATAAATACCTTCTTACATTGGCCTTTTTGATATGGCCCTCCATCCTATGCGTATAAATTCCCCTACCCTTTGTCATTACATTTGCATTAACTAACCTTTTGTTTGCTTATTTACACGTAGTAGTTAACTTACACACTGACACGCATACAACGCACATAAAATTCAACCCCAAAAAATCTTTTTTCTGTACCCCCTTCCTTTACTTAATCACTCATCCATCTGAAGTTTATAATCAACATGAATGGAATTATTTAATTCAGTTAGGTGGGAACGTCATCATTCACTGCGGAAAGCAGGTACATCCGTTCGACGAGTCTCAAATAGGACGAAGTGCCCATCCTGGATTCCACCGCTAGTTACCATCCACCAATTAAGTCTCAGGAGTTATGATTACCGAAGTCACGCATGAAATGAACTATTCTTCTACCAGTCAACATACTGATGTAAATCATCCCTACAGAAATGGCTTGTAAATTTATCTGAAGCATTCTTACGCTGTATCATGCTTTATACTACTGACTGGTTGATATGAATAGTTTGATACCACTCACATCCACCAGTAGTGTTTGCTAGGCATATTGAAGTGTTCTAAACATCCGATGGCCATTTCTCTCTTATAGCGCCGACTTCAGAATCGCACACACTGATGATGAGCTCCTTCCCAAAACAGGCAGAAACTGTAGTCCAGTGTTTATAAAAATTTGATTTGACTAGAAAGCGCTACTGGTGGAAATGAGTGATTTCCAACTACTCATATTAATCGACCAGTAGTATGTAGCATCACGTATTTATGCTTGCTTTTTTGATTGCCATTTATTGGATCAAGCAGATCACATATTTTTATCTGATCATTTCAGTTTCTAAAGATATTATGATGAATTTTCGCCTCGAACTGCGTAAACTGCAAACTGCGAATTCGATTCTTAAACTGTCCGTCATAGGGTTTGAAATCCATCAGTTGCCCAGATCTTCCGAGTTGTGCTACTTCTGATCTTCGTATTGTGTTTCTTTGTCTTCTTGTTGTGTCTCTCATGTTTTGCTGCAATGCTGGTTCACTTCTTCTCTTTGATGACAAATCTCTCTCTTTGCTATCGGATGTTTCTGTGCCGATGAACGTCTGTTTATATTATCACTGATAAATCTTGTCAGTAGCACACGCCACAGTAGTTGCAGTAATATTCAAATAGTGGTAAATGTTTATACGAATTGTAAGTTACACAGACTAGTAAAGTGATAATCTAAACAGGCTGAAACCTTGACTGCGTAAAGCTGACCATTCGCAAGTTTCAAGAATCAATAAGTAGTATTCACTATGCTATTTTATTCTGGAAAGATAACTCTAATATAATTTTCATAAGATTGAGAGGTATTATTTTCCACCTAAGAAAAATTCTATGCATTAGAATTTTTCTCAGAGTTGAAACAGCCATTGTTAGCTACTTTCCAGCCTTCTAAAAGTTCTTCTAACCGCATTTATTTTGATTCTTATCAGTTTGTCAATTCGCTGTATGTATTCAGTTTTCATGGCTAAAAATTTACGTTTGTTAACCGCTTGTCTGATAGTATTTGTGATTTTTTACATAGCAAGATCAAATGACGAACACTGCACAGGTTACTTAGATTACAGATGCACCTGTATTAAAAAAAGAAATTGCACGTGTAATCACAGTTAGGAGGAGCAAAATCACTTCTCGGTAGGCAAAAAAAAATGATCATTTAAGAAAGCAAAGTAGCTGATTGGTTGAATCTAAAAATGAAACTATTAGTTTGTATATCATCTATCAGTGTGACATGAGAATTGTTCTCTACATTGACTTTCACCATATATATATATATATATATATATATATATATATTCACAAATCTCTAAAATTAAAACATCTACGTATACAAACCAGGATAGTCTGACTCACAGAACATAACTTTCTCCTTGAAATATACCTTCGGCGAATAGTATGACACATCGAAGCGAGGTATCTATAATTGGTTTAAAATATGCAGTGAATTCATTAATTTATAAATGTTCGAATCACATTCAAACTTTATTCTTTTTTTAAATCATGTGATACCCATGAGATTGTTTTATTTTTCTTGCAATGGAAAGCATAAATCCCAAGGTAATGTACAGACTTATTTTCACCATTTACTGAAGTCATGTGAAAAGTGTAGAGAAATTACCGATGTCAGCTCATGATGAAATCCTGTAACCAATCGATCGAATTCCCACAGAGCAATACTTGAATATCAATGGGATGCTCACTAGTGACTGGCACTATTCACCTAGGTAGTTACCTGGGGTTCTAGTGGGAAGTTGTGACCAGTAAGGTAAAGCAGGTCGGGTGTGACGACAAATACTCGCCGAAGACATTGGCTAGGGGTTGCGCTATGTCGTGAATTGGAAGAAGTTGAACCTCATGGGTCATTGGATCGGATCCCAGTGACTTAATGGTCTACGAGCTCGCCTTGTAACCAGTAGGCCCTGGATTCGAACCCTGACTGTGGGTACGTACTGCTGAAGAGTCCCAAGCACTAGGACGAAACAGCTGTCCAGTACTCCCAGGTTTTCCAATGGTTCTCTAACTGATATCAGCTCATAATGAAATCTTATAGATCAATACGGAATTCTTCATAGGATGAAGAAATCAATAAAGAGAAAGAATTCATGACAAAAAAGTGTGTAGAGTATTGATATAAGTGGGGATTTGATTTCCTCTGCATTTTGTTATTGCATCAGTTTGAATGACTTCACAAGTGTTTACTAAATTTAACAACTAGAAGTGTTCTCGCATTTTGCAAAGTTATTTTAGAACCATTTGTTTGAAAGATAATCACAATAATGCTTAATTCCAGGCTGTTATGAAGCTTCACAACTTTATTTTCTATTGGTAATTGAAAAGCAACTATTATGAAATTTATTCAGACTGTATCTTTGCGTCGTAAAAATTATTTTCAAAGGTAGCAAGTAGTCTTTCTAGTAAGAACGTCCGTTTCTGAAAAGAGAAGTGGGATGAAATAATATTGATAACTCTGTGCAAAACTACAGTAATCATTTCGAGCTAAAACAATCCAAGCCCAAGGTTAACACAACCTTTGTATAAATCAGAAGACCAGCCTTCCCATAAGCTGTCGACATCTAGTATCCTTACAGTATGCAAATAAAAGTGCTGTTATTATAATGACATCGCCCTAACTTACAGTCTATGAATGCTTTGAGCTTGTAGTATCAATAGACTGTGAATACCTGAAGGTTTGGAGTAGATTAATTCTCTCTAACTGATAAAGTTAAAATATGCATAGAAAAGAGTTAAAGTGTTTATTTGTAAACCAGAATACCCCATTAGCTTAAAAGACAAATTCGAACAGAACAATTCATTTTGTGCATCCATCCGAAATTCCACAATTCGAGGATGCACACATAAAAAGACAGAAATACAGAGGTGCTACAACAGACAAAAATGAGTGTCTTGACAGTGATCAGTTGAAAATTAATGGAAGTGTTAAGATTGTTGCATTTATCGTGGGATTTCACTTAGGAGGGGAGGGAACTGGACACAGAAATCTAAGGTCATCTTTTCACTTCTGCTAATTTCAGATATGTGATGAGTGCAGTGAAATCACACCCGATTTAAAGAAAACAAAAGTGGTAAGTATAATATCAGCTTTCTGTTTCCTTGTTAATATTTCGTCAGCAATCAGTTTATTAGGGTTTATGAAGCTTCATAAATGAACGAAGTGGTAATCACATTCAAGCATTTCACCCCAACCCTTAAACCAGCAGCCAATGTAGATCTGTTCAGTATTATTATCTTAGATTTTACATAGGAGGATCGTACGCCAAACATATTAAGATTTTCAGTCAGTATTCAGAAGATTTAGCATAATGTCAGACTTTTCACCTCGGTGGACTATATTTTCTGAGTACATGTCCTCTTATCGTGTTAAGTTAGAACCTAAGATGTCGCTGTCAAGCAAACTCTCTTTTATTAGTAAAAACAGTAAAATTATACATTCCTGGAATACATCAATGTTTGTGATCGCTTCCTTAATCTCTTACACATTTACTTAAACTCCTTTCAGATACCTTGAGTATTATAATATACGAGATCTACACCTTTTTGTGTTTTTTAATATCACCCAACCTCTAGCACGGTCTACGAGTACGACTTTTACACATAGCAGAGGCAATCGGAATTCATCTGAACAAGACAAATTTGTGTGTTCAAAAGAAATATGTACAGCCCCTTTCCTGGCCATGACGAACTACATATTTTGTATTAAGTTTTTAAAAACAATTTTTCCCCTCCCCTTGTAACTATCTTTTGACTTTGTTAATTTTACAATTTTTGCAATTCTAGCAAATTCTATTAACTTGTTTGTATTTTACGTAAATCTTCTGAGTCATCCTATTCTTCTTAGTCATCATTTGCTACTTTACAAATTTCTTGATTATGGAATAACTTGTTGCTGACGCCTAAGGATCAATTTATCTTGAATTCCGTAATTAATTTTCACCCCTCTTTTAAAACATCTATTAGTTAACTGTCTTGATGACCTTTAACCTCTCAATTTCATCTCCCCACCTATGCCTAAAACTGGTTAACTGAAATAACCACTTGATTGGTAAACATTTTTGATGTAAAAAAACCATATATTAGTGTAGAGCCGATGATGGGGAACTAATTGAAAAGGAATATATTTCTTCGCTCCATCTGTTTTTTTTTTCTAAATGCGTAAATGGGAATTTAGAAATTACATCCTTTTTTGATGATAATAATAATACTTAAATGTTAAAAATACTGGAATGAATTATAAATTTATCTGTATTAATTGTCTATAAAACACAAACTTACTATTATTTGTTCCGACTATCAAATTGACACACGATTTATTAGGGGAGACCTCTAAAGTGGTTTGTAACTCTGTTTTGGCCTAAAAAATACACCAGTAAATACTAATAAAAGATTTGGAAAAAAATGTCTAGTAAAAAATTGTTAACTTTTCAATATCTAATCGCTAAACAGTAAAGGAAAGTATGCCGGAAACTGAATGAATGGAATCGATATCTTTACACTGATTCGAGCGAAATATATTTTTACGCTTGAATGAAATCAAGATATTAGATTTCATTCCGTTATACTTTAAATTGCTTATTTCAAATCATCAGAGAACTCCAAATGAAGACGGAATCGTACTGTCTTTGGAAGGTTGTTCTTCACTTTGTAGATTACTTTGAAGGAGGCGTTTGTTGAAATGGAATGACCAGTGTTGACGAGGTGTTCTATTATTGCACTCCTTATGCAGCCATTACTTCCTTTCTGCAGCCACGCTGGATAGTGTTCTTTGACCCTTGTTGACAGGATACGCGTTGAACGACCGATGTAGCTGGCTCCACAGCAATAGGTGAACTCATATATACACATAGAAGTGGTCAGGTGCGGGATCTTGTCTTTTAGGCTTCTGCAGATCAGCGGGCAACTGGAGAACACTACTCTCAATGTTGCCGCAAGGAAAGTTCTTCTTAAATAGGTGGAGATTCTCCTTCTAAGGACGTCGCTGAGTAGGTTTCCTTTGAAGTCGAGGTTCATATAAAGTGTCTTTTTTGGCACAGATGCTGTCTCTTGCTTTTGGATTTTTTGTTTGATGTTTTTGTCTGCGAATCTTGATGGGCCACCGTTTTGTATGAAGGTTTCTTTCAGGAAGTTTAGTTCTTCTTCCATGGTATCTGAGCTGCAGATGCGTCAGACGCGAGTGGCAAAAGATCTAATTAAGTTTCTTTTCAGACTGATTGGTACCCAGCTGTAGAAGCTTGTCAGTTGGCCGTTCCATGTGGGTTTGCTATGGATGGATCTTCTTGAAGTTCCGTCAGCTTTCCTTGTAAGTTCAACATCAAGGAAAGGGATTTTAGATTCGTTTTCAATTTCAAGAGTGAACTTTGTGGCTGGATGGCATTTGTTGAATATTTGTAGTAACTGATTGAGATCGTGGCCGTCATCACAGATAATAAAGATGTCGTCCACATATCTAACATGCAGTTGGAAATTGTCAATAGTTGATTTGAGCCGGCCGTTCTCGAGGCTTGCCATGAAGCAGTTTGCTAGTAATCGGCCCAGTGGAGATCCCTTTGCGATCCCATCTTGTTGTCTGTAAATAACCTCATTGAATGTGAATTGTACATTAAGTGTACATCTCAGTAGTAGTTCTTTTAAACAAGTCGTCGGTATTCCGATGTGTAGCTGATTTTTTTCTATGTATTGACAAATGTGGCAGACAGTTTCTGTGAGTGGAACGTTAGTAAATAGTGACTCAATGTCGAGGGAGAGCATATTTTTGTTCTTTACATTGATATCTTTGATGTGATCGACGAATTGGAAAGTGTCACGAAGCGAATAGTGGCACATTCGTTTTCGTACAGGTTCTAAAATTTCAACTAGCCATTTCGCTATTGGATGGTGTGGGGAACCTGACATATCGAGAATTGGGCGAAGTGGGAGGTTGGCTTTATGTATCTTTGGTAAGCCGTACAGTCTTGGTATTATTGATCCTGTCGGTCGGATCTGATCAAAGACTTCATGACTGATCAACTTTTCGGTTTGCATTCTTTTAAGGACATCGGTGAGTTGTTTTTCAATCTGTTCTATTTTGTTTCTTTCATTGGGTGGTTGCGAAAATTTTGTTTTGTCTGACAAAATGTTGTTCATTTTCTTGTCAATAAGGACTATGCCAGCTCCTTTTTCTGGACGGGTTAATAGGAGTTCTTTGTTTTGTTTCAGTTGATTTAATTCTTCTCTATGTTGTGGGTCAAATAACCTTTGACCTCATTGTAAAATTTCATTATCTTTTTTGTAAATTTTGTTCTTGATCAAACAATCAAACTTCGTTATTCATAAAGAAGAGAACACGAAGTTCAGCAAAGATATCTTTTAGGCGATTTCATTTTCAAAAGCTGTACAATCGCATTTAAATACATAATTTTACATTGGGACAATTCTTGTTTGATTCCACATAATTACGACGGCGAATAAAAGGTGACAATTATTTTCAACTAGATATGGTTTACGAGAGGTTTAGAAACAAAATTACACAGGATTAGAACGGATAACAAGTGTGTAAAAATGAGCATCATTGATATAAGAATAAAACTTGGGCACTGTGGTAGAGTGTAATTCCATTATGGGTAAATTTTTATTATTATTTTATTTTTATTATTTCTGAATGTACATTATCTCATATTGAATTTTAATCCAATATCTAGTCGATTCCACACATGTATATAAATGAAGGAAAGAAGTTGTGTGAGTAACTTGATATGATTATGAGCAATAGTTTGTGCTCGAAACGTCATCAGTAAATATTACTGTATAACACTGTGAGACTCTATCAAAATAAAAATTTACCCATAATGTAAAAATGAGCATGGAAACAAAATTGACATAAAAATTTTCAACTTGAGATGGGAGTTAGGAGGTGTGAATATATTTCATTTACTTATGGTTTAAATTCCTGAGATTTGTAAATTATGTATACTATATATATTTATCTAATAAACGATCGTCGTAGTCGTCTTCGTTGGCGATGTTGTCGTCGGTATCCTAATAGCCACAGGCCAGTCTTTGTTTTTTGATATTTACGTGTGTCAGTGAAGCTAAAGGTAATAAGGGACAATAACCGTATCTAGTACTTCAGTTGACTTGTCCACTGTGTTCAGTGTTACTATGCCCACGTTCTAGTTCACTCGGTCATATCAACTGTTGACGAGATCATACCATTTGGTGACGTGTTTATAGCAAGCCTAAAGTTATTATGATTAGTTTTCCCTTCTTACCGAAATCTTATGACATAAGTATTGGACTAGTCTCAATCTATTATTTCTTCAAATGATGCTAATAAATGGTAAAAGAGATCTCAGAAGTGTCAAGTTCTCATTGAATAGATGACTTGATTTTCAAACAAACCTAAATAACCTACAAACTATTGTCAACTAGAGAGCAGTAAACCGTAGTATTCTTAACCATATTTCGCTTCAATTATTTTAAAAACAGCTATAAATCTCTTTTAAATGTTATTTTTTATAGCTCATGTGAAATTATATTGCTTGCTAAGGAATTGATCGACTAACTGGCTGACTGATTAAAGAACGTCGAAGTTTTTACTAAAAGCCAATAGTTTACTTTGTCATGCTTCAGAGACAGGTACAAAATTAGAAATAATAAATGTAGTTAAACAACAGTAGATAGAGATGGTGGATAAACTTTTCAAATATCATATCGCCGATATTCCATTCAACTCCACAAAAGGTACAAAAAGTGCCAGATATGACCATAATGACGTATAGATGTGCACAGTATAGTACACTGAAACATTATTTCAACGCTAATTGAATTATTCTGTTGTTGTTTATTCTCCCGAAACATTTCGATCAATAAAAACTTATCATCTAGAATTCTTTGTTTCTTTTCATCAACGTTATATTCAGTCAAAAAGTGTAAGTTCAGTTACACCATATGTTTGTAGCTAAAGTACATTATGAAAATAATGGTCATGTATTGGGATTTTGAAACCCAGTTGGGCGTACTACTAAACAGTTTAGCCAACGTGTTACTGAACATCTCCCATCGTAGTTTGGAAAAGCACAGACAAAAGCAATCCGTAGCTCAATTTTTTCACATTTAGTTGATAGTGGTTATTTAGACTGGAGAAAACGAAAGCACTGAAGGTAATTCATCATATCGCTTCCCACCGAATCTTTCCAGTGGACTTCGTATTCGTCTACTACATACAGAGCTGAGGCGATAGGCATTAGAACTATTAAACCTAAACTATGCATTCAAAAGAAGTTCGTACAGCCATTATCCCTCCCTTGTTGGCATATTAAGACGTAACCAACTTACGACTTCTCCCCCACCCCTTACTTACATTTTCAACCCCTTTCTTATTACATCTTCATTAAAAAGTATTTCATTTATTTCTCTTACAATCTAGCATTACTTAATCGGTTCATTTGTTTTTCTTAGCCTCTATTGTCTACTACTGTGGTGAGAGCTGTCTACTAGCCAAATTGGTAGACAATAATTTACGTCAATGTTTACGTTCTCAAGATTTGTCGTGAGAAAATATGATTGATTCAAAACCGACCACAGCGGACTTTGCGTAGGCGGGTACAGTTAACATATAGATGATCTGACATTCAAGAAACAGTCACAAAGAGATGAAATATTAATTTTAAGTGAGAAACAACCAATCAGAAGACTGTGTTTGTTTGCTTAACTAAACTATAATAATGTACATGAAAATATATAAATATGCTTTGATTTCCTTAATAAACGATCTGTTGCCTGGCCCTTGTCTTCTGTTGTTACACTACTACCTGCACATTTGTTTGTTTAATCAGACTGTTTTCGTTATTCTTGTTATCACAGATCGCCTCATTTTTTCATCCTTATTATTGATAAAACCATTATTATTATTATTATTATTATCATTACTGCCATTATGACTAACTGCACAATTTATATGCACAATCTTATTATCCTACAGACAAAACACCATGATTGGTTTAAATTTGAATTTTTATTTGTAAAGTTATGTATATCAGAGTTAAGCCTGATGAGATCTAATTGAAAACAATATTGGTCGCTTGAATGTGTTGTTCTTTATTGAGATAAGGAAATTTCATGTGAAAAAGGTGAAATGATTGTTGAAAATTTATTTATTCAGATAACAATTTCATTCTTTATTCGATTTCTTGTTTCCAACTTCAGGTGAACAAAGTATGATTCAGAAGATAAATTTGACTGATCAAAGAAACACTTACTCTTCAATTAGATCCTTGTTTATGGTGCTACTTCAATGTATGTCGCAATTTTAATATAATACAGAAATTTACCAATCTAGTGGTGATAAGTTTGTTAACAATAAATTAGTCATATCAACGTGCCGATGGTTAACTTCTGTATTAAAACTGTCGTATATATATATATATAAGAGTAGAACCATCAATAAGAATCTAACTAAAAATAAAACATTTCCTTTCTTAGTCCTTCTCTCTTCTAAAAATATAAATGAGAATTTTGGCCATATTGAAAATAAGATTCAATTCACGCCCTATTGTTCACTTTATTGGACGAAATATAATTTCCTCACTTCCAGTTAACATTAAAGTAATATTGCTTTTTCTGATTGAAAATATGGATGAAGATCTCATGTACTTACAGTGTGACATCCTAAAAACAAATATGCATGCTTACATGAGTTGTGGTGTATGTCACTCAAAAGCTTAGATGAACAAGTCCTGAGTATTTCCTAACACTTTTATATTTCATGGATAAAATTAGCCAATACAACATTTATAAATCGTGATTTAAAATTATCATCAATTAATTTACAACTACTCTTAATCTTTTCGTATACTGTCAGTTTTTTTCATTTCCTACATATATTGATCAGGTTTGATAAGCTTAACGAGTAAAATGTAGCAGATTTCATAATTTTAGATAGTAGAAACAAAATTTATGACTCATTGGTTTAACAGGGAATAGAATCAGTTTAATTCTTATAAGCGTAAAATAGGAGAATTCTTGAAGAGATTTATCTTTCGGTTAGTATCAGCAATAAGAAACTAGTAAAATATCTTTCAAAATCAAATAGTTACTTATGAGTAGTATATATGATAATTCACCAAACTGTCCAATATAAAAATGAGTGAAGAATACATATACACTTACATGAACTATATTGAGGTTGGATTGACGAATTTCTGTATTGCTTAGCTGTCCTAAACGAATATTTTCAGTAATATTCTGGATTTCTAAAAGTAAATTCTATTTTTGGAGGGAAGATAAGCCATTGAGTTAATCAGAAAAACTGCAAACTGGCAAAAATATATATAACTCAACTTATGTGGATTAAAGTAGTGGTCAGACATGTATTGAAACTGCTCCCAACTTTTAAAAGTAGCGAAGTGTAGTGAAAGTTTCACTAGGAAGTAAAAAGTGTCATGTTGAATAGTCTCTAGTGCTGACCTAATCCTACTGATTCAGTTAGAAATGTGGTCAACCAAGCCAGGAGATATCTCTCCACTAGGCATCACGAATCGATGTCCAATATTCGGAAGCAGTTGACAAAATGATCTAGGACACACAAAACCCACTGCTAAGGATTCCAACTTGCAAAGTGATATTGCTGCTAATGGAAACTGTAGACACTTATAACTGACGAATGTCAATAGGTAAGAAATCTGAATCCTGAGATATTTGCAACACACTATCCGTTTGTCTAGCAAATGAATTTATTTGAAATATGACTCGATTAGTTCACATATTTATTCAATGTGATTAAGAGACAGTTTCTTTAGGCACGTTAAATAACCTGACTTTAAACACTTCTCAGTAATGCTGAATTAACGTAGAGTCACGATGGCCGGGTGGTTAAGGCGTTGGACTCGAAATCCAATGGGGTCTCCCCGAGCAGGTCCGGATCCTGCTCTCGACGGACTTTTGTGTGCGTTGTTGGCACAGTGGTTAGGACTCTCGCCGATCATGCACATGGTCCGGGGTTCGGTCACCTGCCGGCGCACACTTGATATCTATGGTCGGCCTGCAAAATTTGGGCTACCGATATTCATGCTGGAAATTCCATACTTGTACTAAAAATACGGTGCAGCACCAAGCTGTAATCAAAAATATAAAAAAAATCAATATATTATATAGGAGTTTGCGTTGAAAATACAACCGCCTCCCATAAACTCCACTTTGTTTTCACCCACCCCCACATTTGTTAGTAATCTCTTAAATTTCAAGTGTACCCTAAAGCAGAGCTCTCTTCGCTCTATCTTGATGATTTTACTTTGCAAATAAGTCCTTTCTGTTTGAGTTTTAAAAGATACGGAGGTAAAGTGCTTTTACCTAGTTACCTGTATCTTAAAGAGCTTTCACACACCATATATATATATACATAATTCTAATAAATTGGCTCCGCCAGTACTGGGCTAAGCTAGTATCATTTCACTACGTTGTTCCTTTTTATGTGAACGATACCGATCACTTACAACGATGCATGTAACTCGGTGAATATTTATCTGTACCAATAAATTGATCACTTCGTTATTTATTATCGTTTCTTCTACACCTCTTAAAACCATAACCAGAAAACTGATGGACTGAGTTTCATGTAAAACTTGAAACAAAGCGCAGAAGTTAAGACTGACAAAGTTCACATAGCAAACACATAGGCACAGTTTAAAAAATGCAAGCTATAGTGAATAGTAATGTACGAGAGAACGAATAGGTAGATAGAGAATAGTGAGAATCAAAAGAGATTAAGATTTGCTGGAGAATGAATGCATTCACGCTACCAAGACCGATCTTGAGTCATGTCACCAGCAGTTTCCATCCAACGATTTGAGGACCCCAGCCAGACAGTCTACACTTCTCTACATGGCTGGTTCAAACCAACAGTCAAAGATTTCATACACTGATGCCAAATTCTGGTTTGACTGCCCCTAACTCTTTTCCAACGTAATCCTATGTAAGCTAACATTATTCGTAGAGAAATATTGTGGCCAGGAATGTGCAACACGTGCGCTAGTCATTTCAATCGATACCGCTTCACAAACCCATAGATTGTCTTTCCCTCCTTAAGTAACACCATATTAAATCACGTAATCCGGGAGATAGAAAGTAGCCACTTGTGGTTAAAAACAGTCAGCCTTTCAAATTTTCTACCTCAAACGGTCGCGTCAGACAAATGTAAAGAATCGCAGGGTGAAATGCTGAGCATCACGAGTGTCTTCCGATCGGAAACTGATTAACAGGAATCGCATACCAGATATTAGTCAATCTAGTTCTTAGGCCTTACAAGTTTCCATCCATGCTGCAACCATGCAAGTAACTATTCGTGACCTGAATAGATTGAAATTTTTTGATATAGGTTCAGATATCGAAACAAAATGTGAATTTTCTCCAAAGCTTATGTACACATAATTGATTGATGGCGAAATGTTGAGATGTAGGTCAACGGCTTTTCAGCAGCAACTAAAATCTTATAATAGCTACCTCACAAAACAGTTTAATAACGGTAAATATAGCTTCCACGTTCTACTCATAGGCTTAGGATATGAAATACGCCCAAAGTATATCAATTTTTATTATCTTTCTGCTACACTTATTCAGACTAATATGATACAGTGAAAGAAGTAACAAATAACTTGAAATACACTCCGATGGGAATATGCAATACCCTAAGAAGATTTATTCTAAAATGCCAGATTATCAAACAATACTCAATTACCTGTCTTTTAGCAATTAACTGACGTAATATATCTTCAGAAGACTGGGAATTTGAATGTTCTTTTGACAATTGAAGTAAAGAATGACAATATACTAAAGAATATTGAAAGAAAGCAAAAGAATGTAATAATAAGTAATATTTCAACAGTTTTATTAGTTTGATAAGAATCATTGAATCCTTAGGTCACTATGTTTTATAAAACACTTCAAGATATCATTTACATAAAACTGGGTTAACATTAGATAACTATTTTACGAGACCTAGTGAAACACTAGAGTCACAGTCATTTGAGAAGACAAGGTCTTCAGAAGAGTTTGTTGAACTCTAAGTGTAGCCTTCCAACAAGAAGTTCCATATTAGTTTGTTTATTAGATGTATGACACAGTGAAACAGTATTATTCTTTACTGCATGACGTTTCGAACAAAATTTATTTTTCATAATCATATCAATTATAATCACACGACTTCAAAACTTAAGTTTTATAGTTTCTTTTGTCCTCTCCTATTTGTCGTATGGGTAGTAGAATTTCCAGATATCTGGGACAGGTGTTGAATCATTCCTATTACACGTATTTGCAGTGGATTCGATAAAGAAAGCTTCTGTTATCAATCTCTCCCTCCCTTCACTCTGTTACATTAGATTTTAAAACTATCATCCTATCACATCCCTATTATTGATATGATTATAAATTTTGTTCGAAACGTCATCCAGTACATAATACTATTTCACTGTGTGATACATTCAATAAACAAACTAATATGGAATTACTTACTACCACAGTGCCCAAGTTTTCCTACAAGAAGATTTTCCATTCAGTTTGAGGATCAGTTAAATGAAGAATGACATCATATCGAAAGTCGACAAATAGAGAAGATTTGTAGCTCAGGTGGATGATTTTGGTGTGGTTGTGTTCTCTGAGCTGGATGGTTTGGTTGCGAAGCTTTCATTGCTCTACTGAGCAACATCTTCAGCGCATACTTCGATGTGGAGTGAGCTTTTAGAATTCTCTATGAGTTTATTAGTCATCTCTTCTAGTAACCTTGAACGTGATTGGTTGTTTTCGTGTGACATTTCATCCCCTAGTTTGCTTGTCTCGGTGCTAGCTGCTTCGTTGGTCTGAATGTCGTTAGTCATTCCTTCTGCTAACCTTGAACGTGATTGGTTGTTTTTGTGTGACTTCTCACTTTCTAGTTCACTTGTTTTGGTGTTGACTGTTTCCTTGACCTGAAGTTTGACTTTGTTTTTGTGTGAATTTCTTCGTATGGATTGGTATATTTTGTCAATCTCTATGTGTCTATTGATTGCTGATTCATTTGAATACCAGGCCTCTAGGAATTCTCTGACATTTTTGCAGTTCCCTTTGTCTAAGATTTGAACATTGTACCAGTCGAATTGGTGCCCGTGGTTGTCTGCATGTAGTGATATGAGGGAGTGTATGTCGTGTCTTTTGACAGCTAGTTTGTGTTCGTGAATGCGGAGACGAAGAGGGCGTCCACTCTGACCAATGTAATGTTTGTCGCAGTCGTTGCAACTTATCTTGTAGATGACGTTAGTTTTGTCTTCTTTTGCCGTTGAGTCATTTGGCTTACATAGAACTGAGTGTAGTGACTTTGTTGGTTTATGAGCGACATCGATTCCAAAAGGTTTGAATAGTCTTGCAGTGATTTCGGAGATATCTTTTATATATGGTAGGACGACTTTCTTTGTGTTTTCGCTGGTGGCCTTTGATTTGGTTGGTTGAGCTGGGGGTAGATGTCTTTTGATGAAGTTTCGTGGGTATCCATTTCTTTGGAAGACGTCCATAAGATGATTTTCTTCAATTTTCCTCAAGGCGGGAGTGCTGCAATGAGTCCTGGCTCTCTTGAACGATGTAAGTATGCAGCTAATTTTGTGTGATGTTGGGTTGTTACTGTTGTAATTGAGTATTTGATCCGTGTGCGTTGGTTTTCTGTATACTTGGGTTTCTAATTTTCCTGTAATTGTTCGTTTGAATAAGACGTTTAAAAATGGGATTTTGTTTTCATATTCTTCTTCTCTTGTGAATTTGATGTCGTTGAAGGTGTTGTTTACTATGTTGTGGGTATTGTCTAAGTTTTCTCTTTTGATTATCACGTATGTATCATCTATGTGGCGTATCCAAATTTTCGGTTTGATCTTTGGCAGAATTATGTTTTCCAGTCTTTGCATGACGGCTTCCGCAATCAATCCTGATATGGGTGATCCCATAGGTGTCCCTTGAATTTGTTCATACATTTGGCCGTTGAATTGGAAATAAGTTGTGAGACACAAGTTTATGCATTCCATCCAATTTGAATGCTGCATTTTTGATTGTTGTATGTGTTCGTCGTTGTTGAGTAGTTGTTCCATGGTTACTTTTGCTAGTTTTAGTCCAATCGAAGTATATAATGCCGTGACGTCGAAGGATACCATTATTTCTTGGCTGTCTATTTCAATGCCTTTGATTTTCTCTAAAAATTGGGTCGCAGATTGGATGGAGTGATCACATGATTTCGTCAAGTGTTTCAGTCTTCTGTATAGTCCTTTGGATAAATTGTATGTTGGGGTTCCTGGGAGTGATACGATTGGTCGTAGAGGTATATTTGGCTTGTGTATTTTTTTGGCCTGCCGTAGAATCGAGGTATGACGGGTCCATTGGATTTCATTCGCCATCGATCTTCTTTTGTGATCTGACCCGTTTTGGTGAGTTTGCTTAGGGTTCTTTGGATGCGGTTGTTTAGTGTTTCCCTCATATCACTACACGCAGACAACCACGGGCACCAATTCGACTGGTACAATGTTCAAATCTTAGACAAAGGGAACTGCAAAAATGTCAGAGAATTCCTAGAGGCCTGGTATTCAAATGAATCAGCAATCAATAGACACATAGAGATTGACAAAATATACCAATCCATACGAAGAAATTCACACAAAAACAAAGTCAAACTTCAGGTCAAGGAAACAGTCAACACCAAAACAAGTGAACTAGAAAGTGAGAAGTCACACAAAAACAACCAATCACGTTCAAGGTTAGCAGAAGGAATGACTAACGACATTCAGACCAACGAAGCAGCTAGCACCGAGACAAGCAAACTAGGGGATGAAATGTCACACGAAAACAACCAATCACGTTCAAGGTTACTAGAAGAGATGACTAATAAACTCATAGAGAATTCTAAAAGCTCACTCCACATCGAAGTATGCGCTGAAGATGTTGCTCAGTAGAGCAATGAAAGCTTCGCAACCAAACCATCCAGCTCAGAGAACACAACCACACCAAAAGTCGACAAAAGTCAACAAATTCCAAACTTTGCCAGTTGCTAAATTTAATTGAGTATGATGATTACAACCAAACAGAAAGATTTGTCTTTCAATAAACCAGGTTGGAAGACACTTCAAATGCACCATTATACCATTTAAGTCAACTGAAATTACACAGACAGGATCAACAACCAGGATATTTTTAAAATATCAGTATCATTCTACCTTTGTTGAACATGTGAAAGCCAGGTAAAACTGTAGGCTACTAAATTGCTTAGTTTTTGAGTGACTTTAAACTGGCAATGATATTTAGCTAGATTCTGAGGTAAGCTTATGTGATATTATGCATACGACCACATTCATAGCCCTTATTTATATTTGCCTTCTAAATTTAGAGCAGATCTTCATAGTCTGGTATATTAAATCTAGTAAGGAAATAAAGTCATCATACCCTTCATTTGAAGGTCGGGAGAAGACAGAATTTTTTTAAGAAAGAAAACAAGTAATTCAGCAAAGATGCTCCTTTTTCAGAAATTTCAATTACTACAACTTTACGGTAGTAATTATGTACAATTTTCCTACCATTGTTCAGCTGCAGTAGATGAAATCATCGCAGATTTTCTTGGCTAAGCCTCTCATGTTCTTTTTTTAACATTGCGCTTAGTTTACTGATTTTATTACACCAAAATCATTGAAATTATTGACTGATAATCGCAGCTCCTAAAGGTAATGTAGACTCCCTGGTTACCGTTCCCAGAATACTATTTATCACTGCTTCGATACACGGTGATACGGCTCAGAATCATTCACAGTGTCGTTAACATATTCACTTCTTTTCATCCTCTATGCTGTAAGAAGAAATGCCAATGTTCATTAGATCATTTTTTTCGGTCTTCTTTTATATGTGGCTTGAACTAATGCGGTTTAGTGTAAACGCCGACTTCTGTTTGTTAGTTAGTTAGTTAGAATCTCGTTTAATACATTACTTCCAAACCACTTGGTAACTAAGCTTTAGTGCTGTATATGCGTTAAAATAGGTGAACTTTTATCTAAGCATGAAATATTCTGAAAGTATTCCCGACCGAAAGCTGCTACCTTGACGTGGTGGTCGGGCTTGAACACCGCAGTGACCCAACAAGCTATACTGGCTGGAACTTATGTTCCTGCAGGTCCTACCATGCCAGAAAGGTTGTTTGGATAGCAGTTAGACTAAAAGCAGTTACCCAATCCAATCCTATGATCTCAAATAAATCACAAAATATCATGCCGGATCGGTCGGGGCCCGGATTAACAACGACCGCGCTTTCTGCTGCCGTGTCACAGGGCAGAAGTGATAAATACGCTACTGAGACACACCAAATAAAAAAGAACAAACAAAAACAGGCCGTGTGTGACCGGCCTCAAGCAGTTGTCCCCTGGGCTCTGCGGTCACGCAACCAACTTCCACGGTGTGGGCAGCCGGGAAGTAACAATCGCCCTCACAATCCGATGTGCACACGAGACCTCTCTAATCCTCACTCTCCTTTGTCTTCATCTTCATCTCTATTGTCTTGCCTTCCTTCTACTAATGCAACTCCTCTACTTAATGGTTCTTCACTTCCTCTTCACTCTGTGTGCACTGATAATGATGGAAGCCAAAAAACCACCATCGATAGTCTCCTAAAGCCACGTCACCAATTTCATATAGGGGCATTTAATGTTAGGACACTTTGCCAAATAGGACAACAGGCATCACTAGCCAAGACTCTGGCATCCCGAGCCATTGATGTATGTTGTGTTTCAGAAACACGCATACAAGACCCAAGTGTGGTTATTCACCTAACCCCACCTGGC